TATGGTGTTATTTTGGTTCGTATCCGATTGATATTTAATGTAAAAACTTTCACTTTTAATTAAAAATAACTTAGCAAGTGTATGGAAAGATTAAAATTTTTCTCATAAGTTGAATGTTATAAAATTTATTTCTACTAAATGAAATTATTGATAGAATGTTTGATTTTAATTCAATTGTATTTTTCTAATAAAAAAAAGTGTACCTTATTACTATATTTTTTTTTTTCTAGATTGACTCTAAAATAGGTAATAGAAAAATACCTATCTTAAATGAAAAAAAGATATTAGCCTTAATTATTATTTTGCATATTTTTTTATTCAATTAGATAGAGTTAAATAAAAGATTAAAAAAAAATGTCATAGTATCCCTCAGTGAACATTAAAATATATAACTAATAATTCATGTTATTGAGTCGTGTCATACTTGGATTCATATTGAAAAATAGTCAATCCTAACTTGCTAATTTTGGGTTATTTTGGGAAGATGGTAAAAAGTGGCTTTTTGGCTTTTAACCAAGCTTTTGGCTTTTTTAGACAAATGATTTGGGAAGTTGGTAAAAAGTGACTTTTGACTTTTTTTATTAATGTTTGTTTATGATGTCAAATCATAATAAAACGACCAAACTACCCCCATTTATGTAAAATATTTACAACTTCACCTATGTAACACATTTTGACCCATGAGGGTAAAATTGTAATTTCACCGTTGGCTAAAAACCAACTACCCAAATGAAAAAAAAGACAAAAAAGCCAACTTTTGGCTTTTGCTACAAACCAAAAAAAGTGGCTTTTAGCCAACTTCCCAAAATAGCTTATAATATATTGCTTGAGTTGTGTCGAAAATTCTCATCCTTACCCCTAATTAATTTTAGTTATTATAGCATTGGTAAATTAAAAAATAAAGATTTGATTCAACTAATTGAAATTCAACTATTTTATATATATATATATACACATATATATTTATTATTTAAATTTTGTTAAATTATAATGCAATAGAAATAAATTTTTATCCTTTTTGTTTTATCCAAATTTTTTTTTTTTTTTTTTGGTAATGATATATGAAGGAGCCAATTTAAAAAATTTACCTTAGGCTCTTAATAACTCAGGACTGGCCCTGTTTTCAATCAATTTGATATTTTGCACATATGATCTATTCAACGAACTCATAATATAAACAGTTTGAATTATCAAAAAAAAAAAATCAAAAAAAAAATCCCTACCCAGACACCATAGATCACTACTGTGGCCTAGTTTGGAAACTCGACTAAAAGTTAATTTTTTAACTTTTTGATTTTTTTTTAGTCATATTGGTCTTGTTTGGTTTGTATTTTGAGAAACATGTTTTGAGATAAAAAGTACGAAAATTTATTTGGTTTGGTTTTTTTTCAAAAGATATTTTGAAAAATTATTTTGAGAGAGAGTTTTGGAAAAAGTGATTGATTTGATATGTATGAGAGAGAGATTTGTTTGAAAAATTTGTAAACCAAACAAGTTTTGAAAAAAAATTTGTTTAATTTGATTACTTTTGAAAACTTGTTTATCTCTCTATTTTTTTCTATATTATTTTTTAAAAAGAATTAAAAAATAAAATAAAATAAAATATCAACTATTAACCTACTTTTCAAAATAAATCTAGGCACAGGGCTATCTCTAGTTCCGTAACGTTATGTTGTGTTAGGGAGTTTAAGAAGAAATTTAAAATGAGAAAAGAAAAAGATATGGGCTAAGTCTAACTCAAAGGGGGTGGGCTATCATGTGCATGACATTGTGTCTAACCCGAATAAAATCAGGTTCTGTGATGGCGGATTTAGAGTGGGCTGAGTTATGAGTGGTTGGTACCCTTGCAACTTATCCACCTCATTTGGGGAGTGATTATTTTTTTAGGTTTTTAAATTATCATTAATGTTCGGAGGTCGTAAATTCTGTCACTTAAATAGTTTGAAACTGTCAAAATGACGTTGTTTTGGCTTGTTTTGGACCCAAAACGACGTTGTTTTAGCAATTTCGAGCCATTTGAACCACAGAATTTGTGGCCACCAAACATTCTACTTAAATTATTTGACTATTTTTAATAGGTTATTTTAATTTTTGTGTTTAGGAAGATGGGTTAAATTTTTTGTTTGATTGGTGTATTAGAAAAAAAAATGCTTGAGACCTCTAAATTGTGAGTTTTAGAAAAACTCTAACCTATGAGTCTTGCTGTGTGATTTGATGTTTTAGCCTTTATTTTTTTTAAAATTGTCACGTCACTGGTGTTTTTATTAGAGTTCTATTATTAGAACTCTTAATCACCACTGATTAGAAAATGTATTTGAAATGATATTAGGATGAGAAATAACCAAATTAACCCTAAAAAGTTGTTGCTGACGTGTTAATGTGATGTGTTGAGATACAAAAAGACTGAATTACCCTTGTGTGTTGAAATGCTGAGTCGGTGTGTTAGTCATACATTAAAAAGGCAAAATCGTAATTTCACCATCTGTTCCGCACAGCCATGAGTCATGTGTCAAACCTCAGCTACAGTAAAAAAAAATTTGGCTATTTAATTGAATGAGGTTAAACCTGAAACATTACTTCCCTACTTAATTTTTCTCCTTGACTCTCTATTTGTTGATTATTGGGCCTAATTTTAGGCTTAATTTTGATGATCCGAATCATTATATTTTAAAATTTATTGAGTACATCATACTTATAAAAAATAAAGTTGATCGGATATCAGAAACTACATGTTTGGATCATTGAATTAAAAATTATTTTTTTAAAAAATTTAATAAACAATTTTCTGAACACATACTTTTTGATATCCGATCAAATTAATTTTTCATAGATATGATATATTCAATAAATCTTAAAATATGAACGGTTCAAAATAAACTCAATAGCCTAACAAATAAAAAGTCAAGAAAAAAAAAAGGAGGAGATCTTGATGCGAAACACCGCTACTGTTAGCTCATGGTAACGGGTGACATCATGATGTGGACTCCCTAGTGCTGAGGGTGGAGCAAGGATCCTCTAGAGTGATTTTTTCCTAAAGTTTCCTAGAGTGCTACATTGTGTGGTTGAGATTTACTGACAAGTCACATCAATTTTTCTGATGTGACTTGCCAGTAAATCTCAACCACACAATATAGTACTCTAGGAAACTTTAGAGAAATTTCACTCTAGAGGATCCTTAGTGCTGAGGGTGAGCTCTCATTGGCCTGAGTTATTAGTTGGTGGATTCTTTGCAGCATATTGCTTGCTCTTGTGGGGGTTTGCTTGCTTTTTTGCTTTTTTTTTCATCAATCTGTTGATTAAAACTAATTAATGATAAGATGATTTTTTTTATGTTAATCTAATTAAAATTTGGAAAGTCATTATAATGCTTGTTGCTCGTCGTTACTTTATTGATGTAATTTTATATATATATATATATATATATATATTGTGTTTATATATATTGAGTAGAGATGTTTTGCTAAGCAACAATTGAGAGTTGGGTTGTTGAGATTGCAATTGTCAAAAGATTGGAGAATAAGAATGTTTTTCCATTGCATTGTCATCTCATGTCATATTACATGTTTTGAAATTGTCATTTCTTGGAATATGCTTTTGGAAGGAAAATAATTATTTTTTGATTGAATTGTTTTGAGGTAAATGCGTTGGTAAGTCCAGGTGGGGGGCTTAGTTGATATGGATTAAGTTGGCTTGAGGTCCATTGTAAAAGTCCAGAAACCCGCACGATAGGTACCAAGTTCCTTCCGGTTAAGAGCCGGTAAAGTAGCTAATGGGTAGTGCCTTGAGAGCGTACTTGCAAATACCAGCTTAGGGATTACCTGAGTCATATTTATCATCCCTTGTTTATCCATTGAATAATTAAACCGATTATGTTTTGAACAAGTGCATTACAGGAGATTTCTAAGAAAATTTTATATTTTTTGCATGCAATGCATGACGTAAGAATACATCCCATGAGATTGAATTTTTTTAATATTGTAAATAATTTTTTTACTTTTTAGATACACTAAACATAAATACACTTAAAAAGTAAAAAAATTATAAAAAAAACTTTTAAAAATTTACTAAATACCAAAAATACAAAAAGAATACAAGAATTCAATATATTTTTTATATTTTTATGTATTTATTAATTTTTTAAAATATTTTTTCACAAATTTTTTATTTTTTAGATATATCTAACTAAGGTGTATCAAAAAAAGTAAAAAAAAATGTTTAAAATTTAAAAAATATTCACTAAAAATAAAAGAATACGAAAATAAAAAAACTCAGTTTTTAAAAAACCTAATCTAGAAAACTCAAACCAAACATACTAAACACTAGTCAACCATCACTCATTTTTGTGAGTCTAAGGTCAAGTTTGGCTACTACAAAATAATTCATCTTTTTATTTTTTTATTTTTTTCATCATATCACCTTTTTATTTTTCTGCACATCTTTTCATAAAAAGACAAAAAATACACTTATTTAAGTCATTCCAAACAACCCCTAAACTCAAGTGAGTGATTATTAAATATATCGTATTATATAGTATTATAATTTGTGAAAAATATTAGTTATTATAATTTTGAATTTGGAGATTGAAAAATATAAAGGAATATAGTAATTGATGATTGGTAAAAAAATATGAATATGTAATATTCTAAAAATATCTAATAATTTTTCATGTGAACTCACATTTTTTAATAAATTTATTTAGATAAATTACATTAGGGTTTGATTTCTTTTAGATTGGACAATTTAAAAGAGTAGTTAGACTTGGTAAGTCCATTTTCTCCTAGATCATTACTCTATAAAGAGAAAAGATAGGGATCATGAAAAAATTTTCATGAAGTTGATCATGAAAAATTTATGACCCTTAGATTACCTTAATTAGTGTGTGGTATTTTATTTTAAGTGTAATCTAAGAATCATAAATCTTTCATGATCATTTTCATGAAAGTTTTTTCATGATACGTAGCATTGCTCCTCTATAAATACCTTTCAAATTCATATGACAAAGCACATATAGATATTACATCTTCTTTATTTCACACTTCCTCCAAAATGGCATCTTCAACTTTTCCCCTAGTATTCATAGTGAGAAGACAAGATCCAAAACATCTTGTTCCATCAAAACCCACACCACACGAACTCAAACAACTCTCAGACATAGATGACCAAGAAGGTCTTCGTTTTCAAGTACCAGGGATCATGTTTTACAAAAACAACCCTTCTATGGAAGGGAAAGACCCTGCGAGTGTGATTAGCGAAGCACTAGCCAAAGCACTTGTGTTTTACTACCCATTTGCAGGGAGGCTTGTTGAAGGGCCTAATCGGAAACTCTCAGTGGATTGCACAGCCGAAGGGGTTCTGTTCATAGAGGCAGATGCAAATGTGGAGCTCGACAGGCTAGGCGACACGGTTGGGCCAGGGTGTCCATACTTGAACGAGCTTCTGTATGATGTTCCTGGCTCCGATGGAATTCTGGGCTGTCCTCTCTTGTTGATTCAAGTAATAATGTTTACTATAGAATTTGTTTTAATTTTCTAGATTCAATTTTTTAAAAATTAAATTTTTTATTTTTTGTATTTTTTTTGTTTTTGATGAATATTTTTAAAATTTTAAACATTTTTTTTAATTTTTTTTGAATGCATCTTAATTAGATATATCAATAAAATAAAATATTTGTAAAAAATGTTTTAAAAAATTAATATACACACAAGAATTAAAAAAATATGCTGAATTTTAGTATTTTTTTTTTGTATTTTTGATATTTAGTGAATTTTTTTAATATTTTTTTTCACAAATATTATATTTTTTAAGTATATTCAGGTTAGGTGTATCCAAAAATTAAAATTTGTTCAAAATATTAAAAAAATTCAGCAAAAACAAAAAAAAAACACAGAAGACAAAAAAAGTTTATTTTTCTGAAAAGTAAATTCAGAAAACTCAAACCAAATGCAGAGCAGAGTACAGTAATCCTAAAAAATGCAGAAAGTACTGTACAGAATTAGAACGTAAAAATAAATAAATAAATAAGGTTATTGATTGGATCAGAATAAGACAAATTAAAAAAATTCAAGATTAAAATTGAATCAATTTAAGCCAAGCTGTAGTTACCACCAATATAATTTATCCAAATTTTAAATGTATGGTGACTGTATTCTAACATGTGCTAATAAAAATATGCAGGTGACTCGTTTTAGTTGTGGTGGATTCACATTTGCAATACGTCTAAACCACACAATGAGCGACTCTTCTGGTTTTATCCAATTCCTAAACACAATCGCTGAGTTTGCCCAACAACCCCAAACCAAAATTACACCATCTGTCCCACCAATTTGGCAAAGGCACCTCCTCTCTGCTAGACAACCTCCTTCCATTACATGCCCACACTACGAATACGGCCAAGCACTAGCCGGAGCCGCCACCACCACCGCCACGGCCAACGGAACCACCACGATCGACCGCTCTTTCTTCTTTGGTCCCAAAGAAATCAGAGCCATTCGCAACCATCTTCCCCACCACCACTACAGCACAACAGCGACCACATTCGAACTACTAACGGCGTGTATATGGCAATGTCGAACACGCGCACTCTGCCTAGCCCCAGACGAGACTGTTCGCCTCTCGTTCACAGTCAATGGCCGCGGCAATAAACACGGCCTCAACCTACCTCCTGGATACTATGGCAACGTGTTTACCTATCCCGCAGTGATGGCAAAGGCAGGACTGTTATCTATGCTTCCATTGGGATATGCATTGGAGTTAGTAAAGAAGGCAAAGGCACAAGTGAGCGAAGAGTATTTCAGATCAGTGGCTGATCTTATGGTGATACAGGGACGTCCTTCGCATACCTTGGAAGCGAATAAGGACTATATCATTTCAGATAATACTCGGGCAGGGTTTGATAAGTTAGATTTCGGGTGGGGGAAGCCTGTGTATGGCGGTATTGCTAGGGCGATATCTTTGATTAGCTTTTATGTACCTTTTAGGGACATTAGAGGAGGAGAAGATGGGATTGTGCTACCGATATGCTTGCCAGAATCAGTCATGGATAGGTTTGAACAAGAGTTGAAGAAAATGACTCAGGAGCCTGTGGAACATCCACCAAATCATAAACCCATTTCCATGCACCAAAAATGTTCACAATCCATATCTTAACAAAATAAAATAAAATAAAAATTAAGAGTTCAACCTTGATAACCTACAACAAATGTAAGGATAATTAATGAATAAGTACTCTCCATGTATTGAGTATTAGTTGTATTATAATCTTCCCAGAATGTAGATCAGTATGTAACTTATTTTTGGTTTGTGTGATAACCCATAACAAATGCTGTTCTTTTTTTCTTTTCTTTTTTTTTTGTTTTCAGTGGTCAAAATTTTTTCTTTTTTGAAGCAAATTAGCGGCCAACTGATCTACAAATCTCGTCAAGAGCATCCACCACAATACTTCCTCTTTCTTTTTGAACATTTTACTTAAAAGGTGGATTTGCTAGCAGGGCGGCCTGAAATTTATGTGGCCTTAGACGAAATTTATGTGGGTTTAGACGAATTATGAAAATTAAACGCTTTTACATATATTTTTTTTGATAAAAATTTTATACATAAAATGACAATTACTAATAAGTTTTTTATTTAAATTTACTTGCACGCATAATCAGTAAAATTATAAACTAAAATTTACTTTCACTACAACATTTTTTAGTTTAGTGACATTTGAAAGTGCCACAAAACTATTCTTCTAATGACATTTTTAGTCTTGTGGCATTTTAAACAAGTGTCATTTATACCTGTGCCACGGTAGATACTAATGGCACCTCAGTGACCCTCACAAGTGCCACTACACCATCATGGCTAAAAATTTTCAATGACACTTTAATGTCATGATAAACACTATTCGTGACACCATCAATCGCCATTAAAAAAAAATTTAGTAGTACTTCAGTGACACTTGTAAGTGCCATTACACCATCAGGGCTAAAGACTTTCAGTGGCACTTTAATGTCATGATAGATACTAGTTGTGACGTTATCAAGTATTATTAAAGAAGACTTACAATTGCCACAATTGATATTTTTAACAACTTCATAAATGCCACTAGATTCAATTCATTTGTGCCATTAAATGGATATAAGCGTCATTAGAACTTATTCTAGTGACACTTTGCAAAGCTACTACCACTACTGCAAATACCACTTAGATGTTCTTTTCACTGACACTTTTAAAAGTCACAACTAAACATGCGTAAATATTTGTAAAAATTGAATCGATTTTATAAACAATTGAATATTAATTGCCACATCCTATATTAATTTGACATCCATTCATCCCATAATATTTTCATAATAATAAGCAAATATTACCACCATAGGATCATCACATCCAAAATAAAAATAAAAATAAAAAATTCAAACCACGATCATTTGTTTATCTAAAAATATAAATTTATTTATATTGCAATAAAAATTATAATCAAAATTATAAAATATTCTACCACACTAATAAAGTTAAAGAAAAAAAAAATTAAAAAAATTATTCTAACAATAAGATCTGAAAAGCCATAGTGATATCTATCTTCCAGAGAGACATTATCAAGACAAATTCAGTTCCCAAATTCTTAACCTCACTTGAATAAATATTCTAAGATAGCATCCATAACTTGCGAAATCTGCATCCAAAAAATAAACATATAAAGGTAATTGAAACTATATTAAGTTAATATAAATTTATTAATGAAATTAGTATTTACGAAAGAAATATACCATAAATGGAGCAAGCTAAGGAACATGAGCTCCAATAGCTTGTCCAATTGTTTTGAGAAGTCCGTATGATCAGATCAAGCTCTCATTAGGTTTGACGGACACTTAACATGTCCCTCCTAATAGTCAGGTCTTAGTTCTTCCCCTTCTATTTCTTTAGATGAGTCTGTACTTTTAAGTACTCCGATTGCAACTGTTTCTATTGATCTAATGATACTTTTTAGAACAACTATATCTGCCACTTGTAAATCAAGATTTAATTACTTAAGTAATTATATATTTACAATTAATAAATAATATTTAAAAAATAAATTAGTACAAAGTGCCTGAGTGAAGATGATTACAACTGAAAGTGATATGCATTTCTCTAGTAGATAAGCAAGCCACGTCATTTAATCACTTAATTGATTCACCACACTACAACGAATTATATAAAAGTAACAACCGTAGTCTTTACATCATATCAAACAATAACTTCAAAAATCAATAACAACCAAAGGTACCAATCAACAACAATCAAAACCATACCTATTATCAATATCAGGATCTCCGAAACTCAACAACATAAATCAAATATAATTGTAAAAAATGACAATCAACTAATTACTCTCAAGCAAGATTTTGAGAAAAAAAAAAACTCATGCGGTAATAATTGATTGAGAGATGTCTTGTTGAAGCTTCACAAGAAAATTATAAATAAATAAATAAAGCACAAGTTTCGTCATGTAAAAAAAAAAAACACAAGTTTCGTCATGGTTTTTACTATGTAGCACATGTTGTCTAAATTTAAACAATGGAATTTAGGTCCACAATATTCATTCATTCGTTAATTGTAAGACAAGTTTTGCATGCTATTCTAAAATAAAGCTGGAAGTAATGTGATATATATGATTAGCTCTTAGTGGGTAAGATAGGCATCTTGTATCGATGACAAGGATCGTACTTAATGTCGAGCTACCATATCAAGAGGACTTGAAGTTGTTGTAACCTAACCAAATTTAAACTAAATAATTTTACAAAATGCACATATAGATATATGTATGTATATATATGTGTAGGAAAACATAGGGAAACATTAATAAAAGTACATTTAATTCTTGTTACAGGATGTGGTAGAATTTAATCATAAGTAAATTATTGAAAAAGTACGAAAATACACTGCTTCATACTTAAATCATTCGAATAGACCAAAACTCAAAGAATAAAAACTGTACAAAATCAAATTTTATAAAAGGCAACGCGAACGAATTTAGTAGAAACTGATTAGGTTGAGAGAAAAATTTGATAGAAAAACCTAGACGAAATTCAATCGAAAAATCTGAAACTGAAAACGAAAAGAAACTTTCCTAAGATGATTTTTTTCAGAAAAGTTCAAAATATGAAAAGTGTTCAAAATAATGTTTTACTTCAGTTTACGTGAAATCAATAAAAATGAGCTCGTTTCGTGGATTAAAACAGCATCTAAAATCTGCATTGCTAAAATAAATAAAAACTATTGTAACAGAGATCATCTGATTACAAGTTCTAATCGATCTTTTTAGTAAAAAGTTAAAATAAAATTTTTTTCTAGAATTACGTATACATGCCTCTGCCCAAATTTCATAATTTATTAAGGTCGTTTACTATTTTTTGAGATGTACAAATCAAAACAATTCAAATTATACCAATAAGGTCATATATAATTCTTTGCACCTAAACTCCACCATTTCGGCCCTTCACTTCCGGTCTACACATATATCCCATGTGCCTCATGTATACCTAACACCGCTCTGAAGCCAAACTTACATGGGGATATCATCCCAAGTTTGACCCACACTCTCTGGACGGTTAACATATATGTATGTGCGTAAATCAAAACACTCGTCTATTCTTGTGAACGATGCAACAATATATACATACACAACCTGTCATCTACTCATGAGAACAAACATAACAATACTGAGCCTGCGGCATTCAAATAAATCTCATAATCCTTACCATTTTTTTATACATTTTTTCTCACCAGCACTCAAATAAAATAACAATTCATGGAATCATGGTAGAATATTCAGAATTTATCTATGGGTTCCTAATCTATTTTAATTTCATATATCCATGAGTGTGATTACAACCATAAAATAAATACATATAAAAACCATAAACCTTGCATACACAACTAACAAAATAGTTGAAATCAATCCATCATCTACATGCAAATTCAATATCAAACCAATATCAAATAAATAAAAATAACAAAATAAACATAAATCTAGAAAAGTGGGTTTTGTACTCACAATTATTTTTTTAAAGATCAAAAAATACGAGTATTAATGAAACTACCAAAATAAAACCCTAGGCTCTGTTTGGTAGAGTTTTGGAACGTTAGTTTCAGGCTTTGATTTGCACACCATGTTTGTTTACGGTTTTCAAAAATTAATTCCACACTCACTTTTGAAAACTCTGTCCAATGCGAGAAAATTTGGCTAACCGGTCGTCCCACCAGACGTCCATTCGGCTGACCGGAACCAGGGGCGGAGGCACATAGGGGCGAGGGGGGGTCGCGTGCCCCCCTTGACTTTTCTATTTTTTTTATTTTTTATTTTTTTGGGTCTGTGCTGTGTGGAGTGTGTGTATTAGAGGTTGGGAAAATTTGTTACTCTCAGGTGACGCAATACCAATGCCTCCGTCATTTTTTATTATTTATTTATGGAAATATATATATATATATATATATATGAGTAATGATTGAGACCTCTACCTTACAAGATCTTCACAAATCTAAACCACTCATGATGTGGATTCCACACATATATAAGTAGACTCCACACATACGTGAAGGATCACGATCACTTTGGAGGTGTGTGGATCATCCTTAAAGGGGTCCAAAACATTTCCATATATATAGATAGATAGAAATTAGTATTTAATATATATCTCTTTGCAGGTTAATTATGACAAATAGGTTAAAAATTAATTTTTTTAATCTTTTATAAAAAAAAAAATAGAGAAGTAATATGATTAAAAAAATTAAAAAGTAAAAAAAGTAACTTTTAATTAATTTTCCAAAATAAACCTATATAGTGGTATATGTACCCTCAATGGATCTGTTGTTAATTATGAAGATTATATATTTTATTCCTTTCCATTTTAAAATATTAATTTTTTATTTTATTTTTTATTATCTTAAAATATTAATTATTTTTAAAAAATCAACAATTAAAATAACATGATTTTTTTTTATTTTGCTATTATTTTAAATTTATTAATATTAATATTCATAAAAGCATGAAATTGATGTTCCCCAAATGGATGATATGTTTGTAGCTTGAGGGAGAAAAAGGCGCAATGCTCAAGAAATTACAAACTTACATCACTATCACGTTGAATTATTCTACACTGTTTTGGGTATGCAAATTCAAGATCTAAATACTCGTTTCACTGAGTCGAATACTGAATTGTTACTTTGTGTGGCATGTTTGAATTCATCTACCTCTTTCTCTAGTTCTGACAAGAAAAAGTTAATTCATCGTGCCGAATTTTATTCCAAAGAATTTTCTTCAATGAAGATCATGATACTTAATGATCAACTTGATACATATATTATCGATA